ATTTATCCATAGTTAACGCATACTCCGCACAAAATTCAATCCATTCATTTGTTCTACAATTCTCAAGACCAATATTCAAATATTTTCTATCTTCACTTAATTCTCCTTCAAATTTACATTTAATTTCAAAATAATATAAAGAATAATTAAGACAATTTTGTGGTTTGTTGAATGAATTTTTTGCATAAACAAAAACACTTTTGTTGTAAGCTTAAATTAATACACAAAAATTTAAAGAAATCAACTCCCCCCTCCCCTCCCGGCATGCTTTATTTTTTGTTCAAGATGTACAAACTGGTCAGTAGGTCTATAGCTCGATAGAGCTCGTTGAACTGAATCTCTTGACATCAAAATCATCGTGATTGACAAGTTTCGGCAAAATTATGGCAATCCAGGAGAATTGGGGTCCCTGCGGAAAAAAATCTTAAAAATAAGAAAAGGAATTTTTCTAGGGTAAAAAAATATGCTGATTACAAATCTGAACTCAGATTTTGAAAAAGTCGAAAAAAAGTTCGGGTTTGGGATTCGACTTTTTCAAAATCTGAGTTCAGATTTGTAATCAGCGTACTTTTTTACCCTAGAAAAATCCTTTTTCTTATTTTTAAGATTTTTTCCCGCAGGGACCCCAATTCTCCTGGATTGCCAAAATTATTACATAATTTTGCCCTATTGAAGTCGGCAAGACGAAGTTTGTGTGACACAAAATTTTGTGGCACGCATTTTCAGACCATTCTGTACATCTTAAACAAAACACAAGGCATGGGGGTGACAGAAGTATTGCCAAATTCACCTTCTTTCCCCTCCAAACAATTAATATATTTAATATTTTTATCATTAATTAAATTTCCAAATCCATTTCCTTTAATACAATACCCAACAGGTTCGTCTGTATTTATACAATTTTTGTCACAACATTTACTGTAATCACCATCAATCTCTTTCCATTTATTTTTAATTTTAACAAAATCCTTTTAAAAATTATTTTCTAATAATTTAATTATAGACTAACCACATATTTTTGCCAATTCAAATTATTTAATTTAATTAAATCTCCAATCTTTATTTCAAATAAATCATTTGGCTTTAATATAAATTATAATTAATTTATGATTTAAATTTAAATATAAAATTCCTCAACGACCTACACTCGTAACCAAAAAGATGGTAATTCACCTTTTCTCTCATTGAAAAGTGTCCTTTTGTTTCATTTTTTCCCGTTAGTTTTAATGAATAAAATGCCGATAATTAAAGGCTATTATAAAATTTTTTAAAATTTTTATAGAATAATAAACTCTTTAAACGTTATAACAAATAAATAGTTTCGATACCAGACTAGATTTTTCGGACCAGAACGGGCCCCCAACCCTAATTAAAATAATTGCAAAAATTTTGAAATGATAAGGACACTTTTCAATAATTTATTTCGAAAAAACATGATGTACTCTTTTTGTTACGCAGTTTAGTTTAGATAAAGAAAAGAAGAAATGTCCATACTTAAACCCGTGAAAATTAAAAAAAAGGTTTTCAATGGATGTAGTATAAAGTAGAGATCGGCCGAAGAGGTCGGTCGATATTTTTCGATAAATATCGAAAAATATCGAATATCGAAAAATATCGAAAAAATCAAAATTTTCTCGGTCGATATTTTTTCGATAAATATCGAAAAATATCGAAACCGAAAAATATCGAAAAAAAAGTCTCGATATTTTTCGATTTTTCAAAAATTTTTCTATAACCAATGAATAACAGAATAGACCTAGTAGTTTAATGAAATTAAGATTGATTAAATGGGATATTGGTGGATTTGGAAGTATTAAATGTAATATCAATGGACTTGTATTTGATATCAAAGGATCAAGTGGGATATAAGTGGATTTTAACTAGGGATAATGGATTTTAAGGAATTAAGGGGGATATTGAAGGGCTGATTGTGTATCGAGAAATTTAGAGGTAGTAAGTGTGATATTGTGGATTTATGAGATAAGGAGGGATATCAAGGGATTTGTGTATTAAGAGGGATATCGGGGGATAACGAAATATCAGAGGATAAAAAATCATGGATTTAATATCCGTTTTGATATCTATCTCTCCCAAGTCGTCTTGATCCCTCGAGATTCAATTTTCGGATCAATAGTGGATGAAGGGCGATATCGGATTTCTAAGGTCGTCCCGTAAACTTCGTCGAGTAAATTTTGTCAAAAATATACCCCCAAGAACTAGCTCCAAAGCTAGTTCCAGACATTTACTAGTTTCGTAGTTCCAGTTCCAAGCTAGTTCCAGGCTTTACTAGTTCCGTAGTTCTAGTTCTGGAACTAGAAATAATGAGTTCAGGAACTGGAACTTTGACATCACTGTATATTATCACACTCTCGTCTCGCTTTGGGAAACTAAATCGTGAATATAGAAGAAACCTTCCTCCTTTCTTGCGCCGCAGGCGAAAATTTTTTGAATTTCTGATGGGCAAGAAGCAAAAATGCATCCTTTTTGGCGCCAAATATCCAAATTGGCAGGACTGCAGTAAACCAACCTTTTTTAGATTTGAACAATTTATATGTCAATCGAAAGAGCTCGGCGAGCTGAGTCGAACGACACCAAAATTAATCCGCGGACTCACCCGTGGACCGAGATATAGGGCTCGAAATGGTCAAATTTCTGGGGGGATTTCTGGGGTGAAAAATTCGATATTACATATGATAGCTCATTTGAAAGAGCTCGACGGGCTGAGTCGAATGAGACCAGAATCAGCTCAATTGGATGATTTTGAAGAAAGTTATGATCAACTGAATCTTCGCTGGAAAAACTGTTTTTGTGCTGCTACGGAGGGTAGGCCGGGCATGGTCTTCGCTACACGATGGCCGTGCTTCGCTGCGGTCGTGCTCGCTTCGCTCGCGGCGACCGTAGCGAAGCGGCGGCCGTCGTTCCGCTCGACATGCCCGGCTTCCTCCGCAGCGGCAAAAACTTTTTTCCGCGAAAACCTTGTGGAAGGGGTAAAAACAAACGGTCATAACTTTGTCAAATGACGTCTGATTTCGTTGATTTTGGTGTCATTCGACTCAGCTCGACGAGCTCTTTCGAATGAGGTATAATTTGCATTTTCGAATTTTTCACCCCAAAAAAGTGCTTGGTCCCCCCTATGGTTTTTCGATTTTTGAAGACCCATATCTCGGCCCACAGTTGAGTCCGCGGAAAAATTTTTGTGCCATTCGACTCAGCTCGCCGAGCTCTTTCGAATGACATATAAATTGTTCAAATCTAAAAAAGGTTGGTTTACTGCAGTTTAGCCCCAAATTTTTGTCAAAAATGACGTTCGATATTTTTTCGATTTTTTGTAATTTGGTCGGTCGATTGTTTCGATTTTTAAATTTTGTCGGTCGATATTTTTCGATAAATATCGAAAAAATATCGAATACCGAAAAATATCGAAAAAGTCAAAATTTTGTCGGTCGATATTTTTCGATAAATATCGAAAAAAAATATCGAAAAATATCGATAATTATCGATGAAAAATCGTATCGAGCCGATCTCTAGTATAAAGTATATTTTTTAATTTACCACTTTAAATTCTTCTTTCAAAGAGTTAATTTTCTCATCCCTTCGATCATTTTCATCTTTCAATTGCTGAAATTTTTTATTTAATTTTTGAAAATTTGGTTTATTTCTTTAAAATTTCATTCTCACAATTTATTTTTTGAATTTTCAAAAATTATTTTTAAAAATATTTAATTATAATCCCAACTTTATCCTTGACTTTCAATTCATATTGAAGGAAAAAATTTTTCTTTTCAAGATCTAAATTCTTTTCCTTCTCTTCAATAAATTTTATTTGAAGATTGTTAAAATCTGTTTGAAGATTTATCAAATCTTTCTTCTTTTTTTCAATCAAAATCCAATCAGAATTTGTTGATAATCCTTCTTCAGCCATTTTGATTGAATTTGTTAATGTTTGAAAAAGTTAAGGAAATTAAATAATAATTTTATTAAATTTAAGGTTGTACCCCGACCCCGTACTTCTGACCATGCCTTGATCCCCCGTCCCGACTGCTTGAATTAATTTTAAAACCCCACACACAACTGCCCACGTTCGTAGGTGGTTTCTGGTTAAATGGTCAGCAACTATCCTCAACTATCCTATGTATTTTCATTACACTATTAAACAAGTTTTTTATCGGCATTTTATTGGTATTTTTATTGGTACAACTCTAATTAAATTTGCAAAATTATGGAGAATATTGTTTAGAATTTAGACTTTACTCTTTAATTAAAGTAAAAGATGAAGTGTTAAGTAAATTATAGAAATTTTTAGATGTGGAAACCGCTATTTTTATAGGTGTAATCCAAAATCTCTATTAACTCTAAAATATTAATCCCCAAACTAAAAAAAAGGTAAGCCAAGCACTAGAATTATAAACGGAGAGAAGGAAGATAAGGGTTGTAGGTCAAAAAATTCAATTGAAAAGCAAGCCAAGCAAAAAATAGAAGATTTTTTGTAGAATGAAAGTAATTAAGTAAAAATTAAAAGTGAATGAGTTAGAACAATAATTTTTGGACACTATCTATTTGGTCAAATCCTTATCTATTTTGGACACTTTAGGATTTTGTTCGGTATCCTTTCTTTAAGAAAAGAAAATGGGCGGAGCTTATGGGGTGTAAACTACACAAATACCCAAAATTATATCATTTGTAATTAATTATATATCAGTTAATTAATTTAAAAACTTTTGAGGTGTCTTTCTTATTTCTATGGGAATGAGAATAAATTATAGCAGTGAGCGGATAAAGGAACCATTCTGGATTAGAAATAAATAAAATTTGAACTCAACACAATTAATTACTGGCAAATCTCAAAAATACCAAAAAAGCACTTAGTATTCCTTATTTTTTAAAGGGAGAACAAACTGAAATTTTAATGGATTTCCTTTTCTAAATTCAAAAAAATATTTCAAAACATTTATAATTTAAATTGAAAAAATCAAAGAAACAAAATTAATTAAAAACAATTTTCAGTGAAATTCTTTAAGAACTAAATGTTTCGAAATATCATATTTAAAAGGTTTAGTCTTCAAATCATTGCCAAAATTAGCTTCGACGAAACAACATCGCAACAAAACACATATTATATATGAATCAAAATTTTCTTTTAATAATATACTTTTACCTAAAAAACAATTTATGAAATAATTGCAAATTAATTCTTTTACCAATTTGTTTTCCATTTTGAGTAAAGAAAACATAAGGAAATTCTTCAATTAATTTATTTGTTGGTGGATAAACTAATCCACAACCAACAATATCATTATTATTAAAAATTGTTGAAAGTTTAAATGATATTAATTTCTCGTTATAAATGATAGATTCCGTTGCTGTATAGTAAATATATTTATTTGTACTACAATTTTTAAGTCCAATTCTCATAAAATTTACTCCTTTATTCAACTCTCCTTCAAATATACATTTAACTTCAAAATAATATAAACAATGTTTAAAACAATTTTGAGGTTTTTTGAATGAATTTTCTGCATAAACTTTAACAACACTATTAGAACCTAAAAATATTTTTAAAAAATCTAAAAATCCCAGCTAATTAACCTCCTTTCCCCAAAATATATTTAATATTTTCATCATTAATTAAATTTATGAACCCATTTCCTTTAATACAACTACCAGTAGGATTGGTTGTATTTATACATTTATTCTCACAGCAATAACTGTATACAGCATCAATTTCTTTCCATTTATTTTTAATTTTAACAAAATCCTTTTAAAAAATTATTTCCAAATAATTTAATTAAAATTATAAACTAACCGCATATTTAAAAATTTCATTGTTCAATTTAATTGTTAAATCACAAAACTTTTTCTCATATAACTCATTCGCCTTTTTAAACAAATCAGATTTAAAAAAATGTTTATTTAAAATAAAAATAATTTTCTACATAATTATACATAATAGAATAAAGTTTTCTTTTAAATAACCTATCTATACCAGACATGCACGAAACGCTTGGTTGTTTTTTTTAGCTTTGTGAGGTTTTCCCTGTCTGGCTTTTCTTCATTAACGAAATATTACCTAGTTTTAAGGACAGAATTTTACCAAAAAAACTATGAAATTTTCCTCTTTGGTGTTGGTAATTCAAAAAAATCGTTTCATCGTGAAAAATTTGAGTTTCGTGCAGGTATGCTCAAAACGAAAGATGTCTTTACAAGCTAGGTGCATTTGGTATTGAGTGTATCCGAAAAATGGAGAAATAAATTCCAATTAAGGGTTTTAATTGCCAAAATAGGTAGAAAAAAATCCGAAAATTGCCAAAAAGAGTTCGAATTAAGATCGAATATGTTCGAATTTTGGATTACTATAAGGATAACAAAATTTCTAAAATAATAAAAATGTCGGAATCTATTCATGATTGAGAGATTCGACTATATGTATTTCTTATTTTATATTCAATTTTTAACAAAAAAATTTAAAAATTACTTACCGCTTCAAGTTTTTTCTGCAAAGAATTAATTTTCTCATCTTTCTGAGTATTTCCAGTTTTTAATTGTTGAATATTTTCGTTTAAAATTTTAATTTCATTTTGATTGTCAGAATTTATTTTTCCAATTTTATTTTCGTTGTCAGAATTTGCTTTTTGAATTTTCTAAAATTATTTGAAATTATTTTATTTAATTAAAAAACCAAAAAATTCGAAAATTCCCCACCAACAACTTATTCGATTCTACAGGGTGACACATTCTTATTTAAGCTCAATTTCAATAAAGTACATACAGTGCTGGTCAAAAGTATAGCCGCACTTGATAAAATTGTATAACTTTTGATTAAATTGTTCCAAAATTTTAAAACTTTGTGAAAATATTTCTGAAGTCAATAGAAATTGATTAGGATAAAGAGTATTTAAAAATTTTTTAAAACATAGAGCCAAAATTTAAAATATCAAAAATTAGTAAATTTTTTACTGGTCAAAAGTATAGCCGCACTTTGGATTTTCATGTTTCTAATTTTAGGAAAAATCTACAAAAATTTCACATAACATATTTATCGATACTAAGAAAAAATAAAAAAGAACTAGGCCGATATCTCATTTCAATGTCGAGATCTCGATACCCTGAAAATAGGGGTAAAATAGGGGTAAGACTCTTTAAAAAATATTTTCGACCCCATATGGATTATTTTTAAATTTCTATTTAGGCTTATTTGATAGCCCCTGAAATTTGCTATAAGATAGCCTTAATCTTATTTTCCAGAAAAAATTAATTTGAGAGATTCATTACATTAATCTTCCGAAGCGACCGTAAAGGGCATTTTATCGGGCATTTAGGTGTTTTTTGGAGACACGAAAATTTAACTCTTAATAACCAATCGAATTATTTTTTCTGGAAAATAAGATTAAAGCTATCTTATAGCAAATTTCAAGGGCTATCAAATAAGCCTAAATAGAAATTTAAAAATAATCCATATGGGGTCGAAAATATTTTTTAAAGAGTCTTACCCCTATTTTACCCCTATTTTCAGGGTATCGAGATCTCGACATTGAAATGAGATATCGGCCTAGTTCTTTTTTATTTTTTCTTAGTATCGATAAATATGTTATGTGAAATTTTTGTAGATTTTTCCTAAAATTAGAAACATGAAAATCCAAAGTGCGGCTATACTTTTGACCAGTAAAAATTATGGCATTTTTTGAAAATTTTGATTTTTTTTAAATTCCTTATAATAATTTTAAAAAGTTTTAATGTTATCATGTTTCTCATTTGATCTAAAATATTTTTGCGAAATTTGATAACAATTGGTGAACTCAGTCCGGAGTAACACCGTTTTTTCAGGTGCGGCTATACTTTTGACCAGCACTGTATTTCAAAAATAGTTTGTGCAGTTATTTTTATGTCACCCTCTATTTAATTTAAATTAACAAACTTTATTCATTTCACTTATTTCATTCTCTAAAGAATTATTTTTGTTTTCTAAATTTTTATTCTTTTCCTTCTCTTCATCAAATTTTTTTTGAAGATTATTAAATTCTGTATGAAGTTTTATTAAATTTTCAATTTGTTTAGATAACTTTAAAAGAAAATTTGTTTTTTAGTTAAATTTTTAAAAGTTTACTTCTAATTCCGAAACAGAATTTGATAAATTTTCAGTCATTTTGTAGAAATAAAATTGCTTAATTAAATTATTCTAAAAGAAACAAAATTTTATTTAAAAAATAAAAATGTATTTAATTAATGTTAAGCTTATATAAAAATAAAAAAGAGGCTGTCGAAAGAGATACATGCAAAAAACTCGAAAAACAATGTTTATCTACAATTGGCGTTTTCCGCATAACGAAAAGACAGCAAAAACCCCCAAATATTCGACTTCTAGCAAAAATACTGAAACATATGGAATATTAGGTCCCCTTATGCCTTCTTGAAAAAATGTGTCACTAATTATTTTAGTACCGAATATATTCAATATCTAAACATTCTAAATTAATATAAAAATGGAATGAATGAAGTTTATATGGAAAATATGCTTTTTTATATGTTTCATTAATTTTGCCCGGTCATTTTTATTGAGAATATGCCGTCTTTCTCCAATAAATAATTGAAAAAAAGTATGTCAACTAAAAATGTAATGAGGCAAAATAAATACTTGAGAATATTTTAAAAATTATTTGAATTTGAATAGTTGAATAATCATATGGCATATTATATGGTATTTATTATATATCAGGAAATTTTATTCAATGTCTGAAAATTTTTTCTGAAAAGTCATGAATTGTAACTAATAGTAGTTGAGTTTATGAACTACATTCCTTCATGCAGTTAAGATTTTGAACGGTTACCGACCAGGTCAGGAGGGCATCAGATTTTCATTACTCTGATTACTGGGCATCAGAGTAACGAAAATTTTAAAATTAAATTTTTAGTAATATAATTTTTAGTAATCTGTTAATTCAGCAGAGATAGCCGTCCTTCCGCTCTCTAGAACTGAGTATGTGACCATTTAATCTGAGTGCTAAAATAAGTACAATTTATTCTCCCAAATTTAACAATTTATTCTTAAACAAAGAAAATCTATAAATTAAAATCGGATAGAATTTTTAAATGTTGTTTTTAAAGAAGTTTTTAGCAATCACATAAGAACAGCCCAATTTTTGTTTTCAAAGAAAAGTTTTAAATTCTTGCCAAAATTATCCAAATTCCCATATTCAGCCACATTTTTTCACTTTCCTGATTAAAAATTAAATAAAAGATTTTGTGTTAACGTTTTCTGGTAATATTATTATAGAACGACTTTGACTCGTCTAGGCTAAACCTTAATAATTAGAGGTTCGCCCCTATATTTCTCTATCTAAATTTTTTGGGTCCCGAAATTTTTCTAAAAAGCAGGGAGCCTCACTAAAAAGCTTTGACCTGACCCTCAGCCTTTGACCCTCACCCCCCCCCCTTCCAGTCTCAAAATTCCAAGAAATAAGAAATTTTAGATGTTTTTTTGCTGGGAATTTTTTTCCTGCCGACATTATCCCTTGTATATTTTTATAATTTTGTAATAAAATCTTTAATTCAACCATACAATCTACAATGCTCTCATGTCCAATTCCAGGTGAATGTCCTGGAACGGTTGGTCGGAAACCAGCCATTGTGTAATTAATAATAAAATTAATTATTAAAAAAATTAAAAATATACTAATATTAGAAATAATTTTAATCATTTTTTGAATTTATTTATTTAAAGAATTATTTATTTTTTTAAATGTTATTTTTATGGGTAAATTTTTCATGTATTTATTTGGCCAAATTTTAAAGCTAAAAAATTCAAAAATTTTCCTAAAAATCAAAAAATGTTTATTTAGGCTTTTAATAAAATTAGCTTTATTTTATAATATTTAGTAGAGATGTGCGAGACCGAAATTTTTCCAAGACTCAAGACTCAAGACAAAAATTTTTCCAAGATCAAGACTCAAGACCAAGACCAAAACTCCAAGACTCAAGACCAAAAATAATACAAAACTCGAGACAATTTTTAGGTGCCATAGGTCAAATTTTTGGTTTATTTTTTGTTATTTTGACACGATCACAGTCAACTTCAGCACAATCACCTATAATTTCGAAAAATCTATGCGAAATTCAAAGAATTTATCCGAAATTCAAAGAATTTTGGTGAATTTATCCGGGTGGAAAATCAATGAGATATATTATTTAAGAGGATTTGGGTGGATTAATTAGTTAATCGGATATTAGCAGGCGAAAATTTCGAAAATGTTGGAAGGCTAAGAAGCCAGAATTCTTCCTTTTCTAGCGCCGCAGGCGAAAATTTTGGGAATTATTAAGGCCAAGAAGCCAAAAATCTTCCTTTTCCTGCGCCGCAGGCGAAAATTTTATGAATTTTAGAAGGCGGTAGGCCAAAAAAATTCACTTTTTCAGCGCCGCAGGCGAAAATTTTGAGGATTTTGGAAGGCCAAACAGTAGATCCAAAGAGGCCAAAAAATCAAGACCAAAAAATAAAACCAAGACAAGACCAAGACAAACACCCCAAGACCAAGACCAAGACCAAGACCGAAAAAAAACCAAGAAAAGTCTTGGTTCCAAGACCAAGACCAAGAGTCTCGCACATCTCTAATATTTAGGATTAGTTTATTTTGCAAAGGGGACAATTCGCTTAATAGACATTACACTGAAATGTCCCCAACTACTTGAAGATATTGCAAACGCAAGGCGGAACGTGTTGGAGAAGGGAAATATTAAAAAATTAGACAGACGAAAGCAATAATTTTTGAATTTTAGCGATGTCCATCCCGTATAGCAGGGTTCCCATTCGTACTTATTTTGGATGTTCAGTACTTACATACCGACCTTAGTACTTACTATATTAAAAATGTATTACTTGAAGCTATGTACTTACAAAAGTACTTTTTGGTTACAAAATTAAACTAACCTTAAAATTATTAATATCTCTTCGCCTACGGTGCTTAAAAATTCAGTTGGGAGAATTTTGTAGTGTACGTATATTTTGACAAATTTTTCTACAGGGTGCGGCAAATTAGCGGCCGCTTTTGTTTTGGCTATAACTTTTTTGATTTTAAACCAAAATTGATAATTCTTTTTTTCCGGGATTCCTGATACTTTAGCAAAATTGTTGATACATAAATCTCGTTTAAATCTTATAATTAAGTCTGTTTAATTTTCTATCAAATTTCGAGCAAAAATTTTTGGATAAAATTTGACCTAGATTCAAGGCTATTATTTTGATGTAAGAATTTTATATATCATTCGAATCAGCTCTCCAATCTGATTCGAATGACGTCAAAATCATGTGTCTATCACGTAAATGTACCGAGATATGGCCCTCTGATTGATAAAATAAAGTAAATTTTGCAAATATAAATTTTCTAGGTAAAATTTTCAAAAATGAGTTTATTAGCTATATCGATGCTCCTGAGCGAGAGGAGTTGATTGGTACCAAAATCACTCGGATTGGATTATTTTGAACGAAGTTATGATCAACTAAACTTTGGCATGAAAAAAATTTTTAAATTTTCTAGAGTTCGAACCCGTTTATCTTTGCAATCTGTGAACCAAATTTTTATTATTTGGTATCAACAAGTTTGCTAAAGTGTCGGGAATCTAGGAAAAAAAGAATTATCAGCTTTCATTAAAAATGAAGAAAGTTATAGCTAAAACAAAAGCGGCCGCTAATTTGCCGCACCCTGTACTATTTACTTATTGTATTATACTTTTACTTTTTGTACTCCAACTTAACATTTCTCCAATAGAGCCGTGCCTTAAAGTTTTTTTGCGATCTTGTTACACAAACAAAACTAAATTTGTTTTGTTTGTGTATCGGAACTTGCTGAATAGCTTGCCAGTTTGTTAGATGGCTCAATCTCATTTTCCTTTCAATATTCCTTCATACTTAATATATAATAGTTTCTTTAAAAGCTTTAGCGATATGAAACAGAGATATACCTTATACAAAACATATATTTTTCGTGTTTAAAGTAGTGACCGGCAAAATCGTATTTGCGGGATCCCGCATGCGAGAGTAACTTTTAAAAAAGTCTACGGGAGTAACTCCCGCGGGAATAATCCCACAAAATCCCGCACTCCCGAAAAATCCCATAAATAGAAAAACTAACGGAATTGTGGGAACGGTATCCCGCAAGATCCCGCGCGGGATCCCGTCCCGCGCCGGTCACTAGTTTAAAGGGCTTATTGTTCGAGTTTAGCATATTATATAGGGAGAAGGAATTTTATATAAAATTTTTAATTTTTTATTTCAGGTGAAAAATTTTTCGGTGAAATTTTTTATATTTTTTATTGAATTTATAATCTTCTAAATTTAGAAATTGCAAAAACTTTAGAAAAATTAATAAATAATGTACTAAAAAAGTTTTTAATTCTTTATTTACCCAGAAAGATGTGAAAGAGTTAAACAGTTGAGGTTCAGTTATATTTGAAGAGATAAAGCTTGCGATAAAGCAGACGATTTTGATTAATTATAGAAAATATATTTTCATTAATTATTTAAGTTCAAAACACAAAAAATAAAAATTGTAAATGAGAGGCAATTCAAATACAGGGGCCATTTTATATTTTTTCATTCTCCAAAGTGTCATTTTATTGGAGAGGGCTTTTTTATGAGATTGTTTAACTATTTTAGGATTCAAAAATACAAACTTTGAAAAAAATCGGATAGGAGGATCAAAAGTTATAAAATTTAACTAATTCCCCTCACAAATGAGAGAATTGACCATTTTTCCTCCCACTGACCATTTTATAACTTGTCTCCTTCTGACCATTTCTCTTGTTTACAAAAAAAGTCAGACGCACGAGAATGCAATAAAATAAAGAGAGTAGATAGACATTTATTTTAAATTTTGGCGTTATGTTTAAGGAAAAAAGTTTTCGCGCGTGCGTCAACAGGGTAGAGATCGGAACGGATCCGTTTCCCGGTTTTCGGGTCCCTTTTCCCGGGTTTTTGAAGCAACCGGGATTAAACCGGGAACGGTAATTCCCGGTTTTCCCGTTCCGGGTCCCTCCCGGTCACCCTTCAGAACCAGTTACCCGAACCCGGTTCTTTCAAAATTCCGATCTCTACAACAGGGTGGACCCGCTGCAGCGGGTCATAGCGGCCGCTGTGACTCGGTCGCGCCTACTTGGCCCGCGCCTACTCGGGCGTGTCCTTTTAATTCTAATTTTTCTTTCTCAATTCTTTTTTAAGTTTCTTTTAATTGTTTAAATTGATTTAAGGTCTTTCTTTTTCTACTTATTCCTAGAATGATTTCTGAATCGCCACAACAAAGAGATAAAGAAAAGAGTGAAAATAAAAAGAATAATAAAAATATTGACAACGAGAAGAATAAAAACAACAAAAATAATTCTCCGGAGTTTGAAGACATTTCTTCTTCCTCATCTTCCTCTTCAAATGACGAAGCAGAAAAGGATGAATTAGAAATTAGACAACAACAAGAACTTAAATCTAATTTAGTCGCTCATTTTTACAAATTTCAAGAGGAATCTGGAAATCCTGAAAATCTTTCCCCTGAACTTGGAGGTTTTTTTGTTAAATATTTTTTATGTTTATATGAACTTGTTTTGGGCTATTAATTATTTTTTGGCCTATTAAGCTAATCACGGATATGAGCCAAATTTACTCACAAGGGATGGGAGGTTGCCCAAAACCCGATCTGACTTCTTTCTCAACTCATTTAGTCTCATACACATCCTGCCTATGTGAATAATAAGTTCCTAATCCAAAACTAGGGAATTTTTGATTTTTTTGGAATCTGATCGATAGGATCCTTGATTTACATACAAGACCAGCACACTTAGGGGATTGTCCACATTTTTTCCCAGACTTGCTAGAATTTCCAAGGGTGGAGTACCCCATTTTTCGAGAAATTAAAGATTCTATTTAAGGAAACGATGTGGACATTTATCGCTTTTATAACGTTGTAAAATCAATGGGTGGTCATCGAAGCGTAACAAAAGAAAATAAATGGTCAAAAGTTTTGAAAAAATTAAAATTGGATTTATCTAAAGAAGATGTTGATGCTTTACAAGTCAAGAAAACTTACATGCGGTTTGATTTTTTATTTATTTTAAATATTTTGAAACTCAATTCTGGGCTAAATAATACTAAAGTCGTTACTATTTTGCGAATTTGTTCAAAACCTAAAATTTTCTATGATTTGAAACAAGGGACTTTAGCCTGAACCCCCTCGCGATAAAAAAGTTCATTGATCTGGTCAGAGTCGAGTTTGACGCAGTTGTCAAGTTTCGGCTCGAGGTTTTGTCGAAAGGTCGGGTTTAGTAGACTAGTCTTTGTGCAAATCAACACCAGGTCTGAAAAAATCCAAGAAAAATTTTGAATTCAACTTTAGACTTTTTTTGATACTTTAACATTTTCCTTTTAATTTTCCCTGGTTTCTATTGGCCTAATTAAATTTCCTATTTTCAAGCCTATTTTTTCGGAAATTTTATTTAAAAATTAAAATAATTTTTGCAACATTTTTTTTTAATTTTCCAGTTATTTTGAGAAATTCGAGTCTTTTATGAACAAACTGGGAAACTCCAGTTTAATTGTAGCAGCTGCTTCAAGTACTTCAACAAGTCAAAGAAATACCCGAATTGTTCGCACTATTGCTACACCCTCACAATCTAGTGGAGATAAACAAAGTAAAAGATCGAGAGGAGGCAAATCTTCGTCAACTCGCGGTGGAAGTAGTGCAGGAACTTTAAGCCGTTCTCGTTCAACATCTACAGCTAAAGATCATTCTCCTGCTTTTTCAGGTTTTAATTTTTGAAAATAAATTCTAAGAAATGAAGTGAGAATTTTTGGGTATTCTGGGAAGACTTTTTATTTTATTGTATTAGCACTTCAACAAATTTCTGAATATAATTTTTTGGACCCTTTCGGTTCCCGTAGCCAGAAATTCTATTGGGAAGTTTAAATTGTTGTAGGAGAAAGACGCCTTATTCATCTTTCCTCCACACCCTTGAAAATTTTTTAAATTTTCTGATGGGAGAATTCAGATTTTTTATTATTTTTTTAATTCAAAATTTTGGAAAAATATTTTTTAGTTTGTACAAAATCCTCTGCAAAATCTTCCAAAAAATCTTCTGAGGAACCTTTAGAACTTCAACCTTTACATTTTTCATTTTCTTCATCAACAACTTCCTCTTCTACTTCTCATCAACATTTCGAGTCACCTACCACTCCAAATCAACATAAAAGAACAATGTCTTTTAATATTGGAATTGAAAAATATAAAACAAAATTTAATAAAAAATCGTCTCCTTTAATTAAACAAAAAATTGCAAGTGAAGAAAAAATTGTTGGAAGCAATTCTAATGCTGTTATAGGACAACATTTTGATGCTGATGGAAAATTAAAAAAGTGTTTTTTTTAATTTTTAAAGAAAAATATTGGCTAGTCTATGAGGCTGATTTTTAAAATTTAGTCTCTTTTTTCCAAATAATTTTCATAAGAATTTTTAGAATTTTCGTAAAAATCGAAACTTGTAATAAAATTCGAGTAGCTTTTTGTCCGTGCCAAAGATGGGCCGGGTTTCATGAGACAACTGTTTTTACGACCCCAACCCTCCGACTGAAACATTGGAATAAAATTATTGGGTTGAATGGTGTCACAGTCGGTTTTGTATGGAAGCCGGTCCTTCCCTTGAAACTTTCTTCCTTCCCTCGAATTTTGACTTGAACCAATCCCTTAATAATATTTTATTTAAAAAAAATATTATTGAAAACAGAAAAGTCAGTAAAATTTCTATTTATAATAAATTTTCAAAATTTTTCTTCCTATTCTAGACCTTCACTTTTTCATCACGCCAACAAAATTAAACCTTCGAAATCTCATGAATCTGTTACTTCAACTAAATCTAATTTACCAACTACTTCAGAAACGTTAAAAAGATCTCTTTCATCGTATGTGACATCAACAAGTATTCCTGCAACTTCGGGAGGAAATTCTAAATTCTTTATAAAGAAAAGTAACATTGAAGGCAATGTTTGTGAAGGTTTGTAGAATATTTTTTGTGAAGGTTTTAAATTGCTTCAAAATTAATTTCGAACAAGCTTTTAGTTTTAGTAGTTGTTGCTGTCCCCTAAATTTGTTTTTAGTCTAAAATCTTCTAAGAAAGTGGAAAAAAATTTTTTTTAATAATTTTTAGCTAATTTTAGTATTTATTTTTGGAAATGTTTTTATTTGCTAGGGTTTCATAAACCTCAGAAAAAATAATGAAAAAAGAGGAGAGATAAGTCGTGTGCGATTTTTTTTTCCTACTTTTACATTTTATTTTTTTCCTCAAGACGCAAAGCCAAAAGCATCTTTTAATAATCTACATATTTCTAAAAATAAATCAAAAAATCGGCTGGAAAAATTTTTTTTAAACTTTTTACCGTAATTTTGGGTGAAAAATAAATGTATTAGATAATTACTAAACCCTTTGTAATTTTTTTTCTTTTTTTGATTTTAAAATAAAAAAAATAATTTCAGTCCAACAACATCCCCACCAAATAATTACAAAAACTTCACCACAAAATAATTCTTCACCAATTAAAGCAGAAATATTAAATTCTCCCCAACACCAACAAAATATTACTAAAATCCCCCAACAACGTGGAAGAAAACCAAAACATTCAATATTTCAACAACAACAAATAAATAAACCACAAAATGAAAATGAAATTGGTTATTCTAATGCACATATTTTTACTCGTTTTTATCAGGGGCAGAAAGTTAGTGGTAAGTAGTTTTATTTTATAAATTCTGATTTTATTTTTTATGCGATTCTGAATTTTTTTATGTTCTGTGTTGGTGTGTTTATGTTGTCTTTTAATTTTGTTTTCTTTTATCTTCTTAAGTTTTGATTTATTTTTTACTATTTTCTTTTCGGATTTTTTATCTTTTAAATTCTGTTTTTGTTTTCTACGTAATTCTGAATTTTGTATTTTTTTTTCTGTGTTTTTGCTTGTTCTTTAATTCTAATTTTTGTGTTTTTTCTTTATTTTGATTTCTGATCTTTTTTTGTATTTTCTGTTTGTTTTATTTTGAACATTTTCTTATTTTTTTCAGAATTTTTATTTCGTTATTCTGATTCATGTTTTTTTTAATTTTTGTTTTTATTCCTTTAACTCACTCATGTTATATCTTTTTCCTTTTTTTGTTATTTTTGTTAGTTGGATTTTGTTTGTTTTTTTTTGAAATTTTGTTCTCATATTTTTTCTACTTCTGATTATTCTTTTTGGTGATTTTCTTAATTTTTATTTTTTACCTAATTTTGATTCTATTTTTTATTTAATTTTCAAATTTTTTCTTCAAGCTCGTCACCATTTACGTTTCTACGATGCCCGAGTAATTACCGTCAAACAGCCTTCACTTGCTGACATTGCGAGGACTTTAAACAATGCATTTGCTCTCTCCCTTATTACACATCAAGGTTCACCGGAAATTTCAACACTTTCACTTGAAGTATTTTTAAATTAAATTTTTATTTTTTTTATTTTTTTAAGAATATGGGACCTGAATTGAAAGATGCTTTGCGCAATTTGTTGAATTCTACAAAAATTTTTGTTCACTATTTGGGTTGGAATTCTCGATATGATGTTTGGTTTTAGATTTGAAAGTTGTTTAAAAAATTTTTTTAAAGGAATGGCTTATGCTTCATAAAATCCGTGTTGATGAAAAGGATGAACGTTCAAGTGCCCAACAAGTTGAAAATCATTTAATTAAATCTAGTGGCAGTAATAATTTGCCGCCTCAATTACTTGCTGCGGCGTTGGATTGGTGTGCTAGTCCAGAAGGAATTCCTTCACTTGCTTTACTACCTAGGTTTTTTTAGTTATTTTATTGTAGTCGAACTTCATTCGTTTTTTATTTCTTCAATTTTTATTTGAAGTGCCCAATCTTCCGAACAACGTCCTCGCCGTCTTTCTTCGTCAGCACTAGCCAAAGTAACAACAACAACCGTTTCTTCTGTTGCAGATAGTGTGAATAATATACAAATAGTGCCTAGAAGGCAAAGTACAAGTTGTGTTACCTCTACATCTTCTACAATGGATTATAGAAGTCCTTTGAATCCTTTTGTTTGTTTTTTGGGATTTTTTAAAATTTTATTATAATTAATAGGCGAATCATCACGCTCCTCCACCTTCGTCTTCATCCTCTTCTTCCTCTAATGATGTGACATTTATAGCTCCACTACCGGCGTCGCATTCACTTGGAAAATTTACTATTCCACATTTGGTATATTTTTAATTTTATTATTTTACCCCTCTTAGAAATCGAAATAAGAAATTGAAAAATTGAATAGCTTTCCAATCGTTTAAGTTTCTCGTATCGCGTTTTTTGAAGGGTTTTTGTTAAGTTTTCGGATATCCTGATTTTAAAAAATTTTAACAAAATAAAAACATTTCAGCCTGTTGTTTCATCCACTGTTTCCGAGGCACCATCTACTACGTGTACAACAACAACAATTTGTTTAACTCCAAATAATCAAATAAACTTAAACGTTGAACATTCTCATAATGATGATATTATTGTTAAAAAAGATGAGGAAAAAGTTGAAGAAGAAAACGATAAAAATAGCCAAAAATATCATTTATCGCCTAAAAATATTTCTCCTATAGTTACAACAACAAAAGTCAAAACATTCACTTCATCGCCTACAAAAATTCATTTGCTTTCCAATATAAAGGTTTTTATTTCTAAACTTTCCTCTTAATTAAAAATAATTTAAACTGGAGTAAATTAACGTAGACTAGCGGGAAATTACTTACTTAGGGGAGAATTTTTCTTCACGTTTAATCCTTTGCTTATTTTTTCGAACAGAATTGTGAACTCTACAATTATACTCGTTATTTCAAAATTATTTCTAACATAAGCTTTCGAAAATTTTTTAAAAATTCTGATAAAAAATAGGTTTATTCCAATGTGACAACTTGCCCTGTAACAACAACTTTTCTTCCCACAACAACAACAACTACTACTACTCCACCAATTACTACAACTAATTCCTCCCTTTCTACTACAACAACTTCTAACATTAATTGCTTCCTTCAACAACAACAACAAATTGTCTCACAACAAAATGATAACAATCCCCAACAAAAACAATTCTTGGTTGATGATAACAAATCCTGTGTTAATGTTGAAATAATTTCTCCCTCCTCCTCTTCATTAATAGGGGAGAAAGGTTTATTAGTAGAACCACAACAATTATTATTAAATTTAACTCCTCAACAAACAACAATTTTAGAGGAGGAAGTAAAGCCTGAGACATCCTTTCCTGTAAATATTTTTTGGTTTTTTTATAAAATTGTGTAAATTTTGTATTTGATGTACAAGGGATCTAGCCGAGACAAAAAAAGCGAATTTCCGACATTTCAGGAAATAGGACTCGGTTAGATCTCTGCCATTTACCCATTGGACATATCAGAAAAGATTTGTTTGAAAATTTTGATTATGGGGAATCTAGATTTTCGAAATAACTGTCACAAATCTCGATCATTCCTTAAGTCCTCTTTGTTTACCTGTAGCGCGACTTTTTAGGATTATTTCCATTGAGTTAATCTTAAATTATTGATAAATCAGTTTCTTCTGGAAGCACGTTTTTCGTTTAAAATACAGTCAAATCTCGATAAGACCTTATCCTCTTAAACTACATTGATCTGATATGATATCGAGATTAGACTGTATATATAAATGGTTATTCCAAATATTTCATGTGAAGTAGCGGATATGCATCTCTTCTTGTTTATAATTTTATTTAGAATTTAAAAGTTTTTTTTTAATTATTATGTGGAGCGCTGTTCGTAATTATTTTAACAAGGTACTCTCTCCAAGTCCAAAATTAAATAAAAAAAGAAAAATATATGTAAATTTATTTTTTAAATTTAAATTAATTATTAAAAATTTTAAGATTCAACAACAATATTTTGGACATGTTCAAGGGGAAGACAATAGTGTATTCCGTTTATCGCCACCACCAGCCCCGCCTATTTTAAAAATAAAAGAAGAGGAGAAAGTTTATGGAGATTTTGAGTTTGAGAAGGATTCGATTGAGGATAAAGGTAGAAAAATTTAGACTAATAAACTGGCAAAGTAAAAAAAATTTTTTAGAAATTTTTGTAAAAAATTTCAGAAATTTTCAAAAATTTTTCAGAAATAGTTTTCAAAAATTTCAAATTATTTCGAAAAATTTGAAAATTCTTTGAAATTTTTCAGAAATAATTTTTTACATTTTTTCAGCCAAAATTACTTTACCAATTAATGAAAGTACTTCTATCTCACTTGATGTTACACCTCCTAAAAATAATACATTACAAATTCAACCACCATGGGCACCAAAAAAGCGAAAAAGTGGAGAATCTATTATTGCTGGTGCTATGAGTCCTCCGCCTAATAAATTGGCAAAGTAAAAAAATTTCAGAAATTTTTTGACAAATTTTTTGATTATTTTTGAAATTTTCAAAAAAAATTTTTAAATAAATTTTCAAATTTTTTAGAAATCACTTAAAATCCCCTGTAAGGCCAACAAATTCTTCTGCTACTTTGTTGAGTAATTTTGGCTCTCCTACACGTTCTCCACTTGTTGGGGCAAATGAAGCAACTTCGGATGATGAAGAAGAGAATACATTTGAAGGTTTTTTTTTAAAAGGAGAAGAATGTGAAAAAAACTTCCTTCCTTTTAAAGGTATTCACAGTGAAAGTCTTCATTGTTTACGACAACGTTTACTTCACAAAATGGAATCAGAACATTTATTTGATAATGATGATTTTGTTGGATTGCCTAATTTAGGTTTTTTTAATTTTTGCTTACACCTTTATGTACTAAAATAATAGGGTTGACTTGTGAGAGGACGGATTGACTTTTTATAGGATTGGATGGATTTCTTCCGATTTTCTTCGAATTTCGGTGTCTAAATTTCTCATTTCCTCGCTACCTTTTAATAATAAGGCAGGGACTGGTACTGATATATGTGACCTTTTTTATCACTGGTATCAGATACTATTCTGGTCTGTTATTTGGTTTAGACCCAGAAAGAATTTTTTAGTGATATTTTGTTGATGGGCAAAAACGGGAATTTTTGAGGATGATAAACTTGGAAATAACCAAACGAATAATTTTAACTTTTAAGATGAAATGCTTCAAAATTGTAATGAAGACCCTGACCAACAAGTCAAACTTATTGAACAAAGAATGCGTGAATTACACAGCATATTTAGTGAAAATAAAACAAAACTTGGCGAATTGGAAAAACAAAATCGGCGTCGACGTAAAAGTGGGTGTCGAACCTCTATATCAGATATTGTACTTTCTACATTGAATACTCCCCTCTCAATTGTTTTTAAGAATTTGTTTGGTCACTGGGATAATCTCGAAATATTTCATTGTCTATCCCTCCTATTTCGTATACTCCTCATTATAAGTGACGATTTTTCAACATTAAGAAGCTATCCTATAAGGGGAGGGGGGGTTTGTTTGTGTTGATTTTAAAGATTAAGATTTAAAAGAAAATTTAAAAATTTTATTTTTCAGAAGAGCAGCAATCATCAATATCTTCGTCACCAGCATCACGTTCTAATATTATAATTGGAAGTGGTAATGTTGAGAATATTTGATTTGTTTGCAAAAAATAGAAATTTTTAGAAAAAAAATTTTTTAATTAAAAGATACAAAAATATTTTTTTGTTTTACTTTAAAAAATTCAAAATTTTATTAAAAATAAATTTATAAAAATTATTTCTCTATCTTTAAAATTAAATCTCAAATAAATTTCTCAAAAAAACATAAATTACACTCGAATCATATCGTTTCCGTTTCATTATAAACTTTTGATACTTCTCTATCCTGAGGGCATCATAGACTGATGGTTGAGATTCTCAGAACTTAATACGTGGAATATTTGTTTCAACGGAATATTTCGATTTGCCAAAAAAGCCTTGTGTAAATACCTAATTGCAATGCCTTAATCAAACCTTCTAATTCCCTCGATATCCTTCTTAATTCTTAAATCATGGATATGAGGATTTAGATGGATTAAAAAAGTTTGTGCTGCTCATAATGGCAAAGTTTATCTAACATTAATTTTTATACCATTTTAACTTAAAAAATTAGTTATAATTTGTTAAAAAGAATCAAGAAAATTTTAATAAAATTCTTTAAGAATTGAATGTTTTGAAATGTCATAGCTGAATGGTTTCGACATCAAATCATTCCCAAAATTAGCTTCTACAGAATAACAATTTTGTTCAACAACCGGCTTATATGATTTAAAATTGTCCACTAATAAAATAGCTTTACCTAAAAAATATTTTCTATAAAGTAATTTTTAATTAGTAAATATTTACCAATTTGTTTTCCATTTTGTGTAAAGAAAACATAAGATAATTCTTCTTCATTTAATTTATCAGTTGGAGGATAAACTAATCCACACCCAAAAATATCGTCATCATAGAAAGTAGTATTATCAACCTTAAATGATTCTTCTTCCTCATTTGTAATTACAGAATCTTTTGCAGAATATAAAATATATTTATTTGTATTACAATTTTTAAGACCAATAAACATCCATAGATTGGCATTGTATAATAGCCCTCCTTCAACTTTACATTCAAAATAATATAAACAATAATTTAAATAATTTGGTGGCTTATTAAATGAATTTTCTGCATAAACAGCGACAATTTTATCAGAACCTAAAAATATTTTTTAAATAATTCAAAAATAATTTACCTTCTTTCTCCGTCCCATAATTAATATATATAATTAATTCATCATTAACTAAATTCACAAATCCATTTCCTTCAATACATTCACCGAAAGGTTCAAATGTATTTACACAATTATTGTCACAGCAAGTATATTTTGTATCAATTTCACTCCATTTATTTTTTATTTTAACAAAATTCTTTAGAAAAAATGATTAATTTCTGTATTTATTTTTATAAACTAACCGCGTATATACAGGCCAAATTATTTAATTTAGTTAAATCACAAATCCCTTTCTAAAATAAATATTTGGCTTTTTATAAATTTAATTAAAACAAAATCTCCAGTGAATGACCGGACATTCTATTTTTCAATAATATTCAAAAGGGATGGGTATTAGAGAAGGACATTCAACTAAAGGAGGCATTGTTTATTACTATATTAGCTTACAGTTGGATTTTGTGTAGGCATATTACTTGAACTTTGAGTAAACTCATCGACAGAATCGTCAGAACTATCACGAGCTTCTTCAACAAAAAGTTGTTTAATATCATTCAAAGTAGCAGAAACTCGACAACGAGGACAAGTTTCTGACTAAAAATTATTAATTTATAAAGTAAATTCCTCGCCGGTAATAGTTAGTTTTGTATTTCCCTTTTTTCTCATTTTTTCATCTTTCTAGAAAAAATAAGGAAAAAGTGCTTTTTTCGATATCATAGACTTCATTGTGCTTAGGTGCTTCCGAGGTACTATATTAAGTGTGCTGAGTCCGAATACGAGATCTTATTTAATTCGAATCCCGGACACGAATTCGAACTCGAAGAAGACAATCAGCTTAGCCAAAAAATTTTAATTCGAGATTTCAAAATTGAAGTTGAATTTGGGATTGGGATTTGAATCAGGGTGTCCCTTTCCAAAACACCAAAATAGGGCGAAGCTACTCAAAAATATGGCAAAAATAGGGCGAAATTGGTCAAAAATAGGGCAAAAAATAGGGCATTGTTTTAAACACTTAAGAATACTTAAAATTTTAAAAAGAAAGCTCTATTATGCATATTTTTTAATATTTTAAACTAAATTTTCAATTAAAAATTTCTTTATCATTAAATATCAACTTGTGACAAATCTATTGGTAAAATTGAATTTCGTATACCCCCTCCTTTTTCCAGCCTCAAAATATTTAAAAATGGTCAGTCTGTTATCAGATTATAGAACTCGTTAAGCTGTGTCGAATGACACCAAAATCAACCCCCGGTCTTAACTTCGGGCCGAGATACAGACCCCCGAAAATTGAAAAATAAAAGGGTGAATTAAGCTCATCTTTGGGCTAAAAATTCGATTAAACTGATAATAGCTCATTCGAAAGAGCTTGACGGGCTGATTTGAACGACATCAAAATCAACGAAATTGAAAAAGATTCGACAAAGTTACGACATAATGTAATCCTATTGTGTCGGCGAGACGCTTGTGCAAAACACTTCTCTTTGCGCAGGGTTTTTGTCTATATCTCGGCCCAATGTTAAGACCGGGGGTTGATTTTGGTGTCATTCGATACAGCTTAACGAGTTCTATCGTCGAATAACAGACTGACCATTTTTAAATATTTTGAGGCTTGAAAAAGGAGGGGGTATACGAAATTCAATTTTACCAATCTATTTTATTTGGGATATCCTCTTTAATCCCAGAATACCGTTAATTGAATTACCCTTAAGAAAGCAAATATCACAGATAATTCAAACATGATATCCCCTAAAATGTACCATCGATTCACGAAAAAACCCCAAATCCCCGTACCATAATCGAAGAATTCTTCCAATTTTCAGCGCCGCAGGCGAAAATTTTTTGAAATTTGGAGCTCAAGCAGCCAAATTTCATACATTTTTTCGCCGCAGGCGAAAATTTTGAGAATTTTGGAGGCCAGGAAGTCAGAAATCCTTCATTTTTACCATTTTTTTTTACAAAATCCGAAGAATTTTTAAAATTTTACTAGATGATAAAAATAGGGCAAAAATATGGCAAATGAGAAAATAGGGAAAAAATAGGGCGAAATTGTCAAAAATAGGGCAAATGCCCTGTAAATAAGGCAAAAGGGACACCCTGATTTGAATTAAATAAGATTTGTGCTCGTATTCGAACTTAGCACTTTTAAGTACCTATTGGAAAACATCTAAGATATCGAAAAACCACTGTTTCCTGATTTTTTCTAAAAAGATGTTAAAATGAGAAAAAGGGGGGAAACAAAAAATGACTATTTATTATCTCCTCACCTCTTCAGTAATCCATTTAGTAACACATTCTTGATGGAATAAATGATTACAGTTTATCAAAGTATAAACATTTTCACGAAGCAAACTTTTAAGGCAAACAGTACAACGACCAAATTTGTAATAAACCATTTTTAGTTTCGGAAAGTTAATTTAAGAAATTCTAAAAATAATTTTAAAAATTTGAGAGATTTTAAATGAGAATAAATAATTCCAAAAGTTTATTAATTTTGTTAATTTTACGCCTCCCATTTGTGACCTGTCCTCCTCTACTTTTGCTTGAAGTAAATATGGGTATTTAAAATATATTTTTTATATTTTACATATTTATTCTTTTTTACCCAAAGCATACATTTAAACATGAAAGGTTTTTTATTATGTAGTCAAAGATAATTTGGTCTATTTATACATAGTTAAGTTCGGTATTTAGAGAGGGAAGGAGATTAATTTGTTTTAAATTTTCTTTTAATTATTTTTATTAAAATTATCTTTCTTTTTTTATTTATTCTTACTTTTCAGAATATTTTCTCCTAATCCTTTTTATTTCCTAATTAATTTTCAAATAAATTTTTAAAATTAAATTCTTGTGCTTTTATTTAATTTTCCTCTCTTTTTATTATTTTGAAATTTTTAAAGCTATACCTTCATTTAATCATTGATTTACTTCAAATCTAAAAAATGGCTTATTTCCGACTTGGTAAATGTACTATTTGCCATACTCGTTTAAGTACTGACAATATTTATTCTTTGAAGAATTGCAATCACACATACCATAAAAAGTGTATTACTCGGTGGATTGAAGGAGGGGTGAGGAAGTTTATTTTTTAATTTTAATACTTCGAGGAGGTGATTAGATAATTCACTCAGACCTACATACCTGTAGGTCTGAGTATAAGCTTTGTTAGGTTGGTTGGCCTTTTGCTGGGGGGGGGGGCTGTCTCTCTATTTATCGGCAGTTAATTAACCTTTGATTATTTTTTACATTTCTCCAATTTTTGGTAAATCCACAATTCAGCTTAAATATTCAAATTTTATTAAAAAATGGAGGTTTTCACATTTTTAGTCAGAAACCTGTCCCCGCTGCCGAGCTCATACTACCTTGGATGACATTAAACAATTTTTTATCGAAGAAGCGGGTGATAGTTCGCAGGAATCTGATGATGAAGATGAGTTTACTGAAGGTACAAGTAATGTGGTTATACCAACTCCGGCTGTGAGTTAATTAAATAAAATTGAGGGTTAAATAAAGAATTACTTTTGGACTAAAAAAATTCTGCGAAAATTTAAAAAGCTCATTGAATGACCTTCATATTATAAATCTTTTCAGCCTGTGAACGTCAAAATTAACGTAATTGTTAGAGACTTAAACAATAGTAAATTTACGTTGCAAATGAAAGTAAGATTAAATTTAAGAGAAATATCCAAAATAAATATTTAAATTAAGGGAAAAAATACTGTGTTGGATTTGAAGAACAAAGTTTATGAGCGTAAAGGTCACACAGTTGGAGAACAACGTTTGGTAAGAGAAAATATGGTACACCCAAAAGTACCGCCGAGCTATATTGGGGCGCCCTGGTATGGTTCAATTCAGCTCGTCGAGGTGCATCGAAGCAGGCCCGTAGCCAGGATTTTTTTTCGGGGGGGGGGGGGGGGGGCCAAGGGGGGAAAATTTTTTCTGCGCCAAATTTTTGGCGCCGAAGGCGCCTAAAATTTTTATTTTCCGCGCCGCAGGCGAAAATTTTAAGAATTTTAGAAGGCCGTAGGCCAAAAAAATTCACTTTTTCGGCGCCGCAGGCGCCAAAATTTCGATTTTCAGCGCCGCAGGCGAAAATTTTTTGAATTTTGGACCTCAAGAAGTCAGATTTCTTCCTTTTTTAGCGCCGCAGGCGAAAATTTTTTAAATTTCAGAGGCCGTAGGCCAAAAAAATTCACTTTTTTTGCCCCAGCCCTTCCCCAAATTTTTTCCTTTTTCCCATTTCGGGGGGGGGGGGGGAATTCACCCCTCACCCCCCCCCCCCCCTGGCTACGGGCCTGCATCGAAGTACCATGGCGTCCCCAATTCGACAACTGTGAACAAAGTTATAGCTCTGCGGTACGCTGGCCTGCTCCCAAAAATTTGTTTTCTGCTTAGTAAACAGAATTTTATCTGAGCAGTCACTAATGCAATTTTGTATATTCTCCAGAATTTCCCATCTTTATCTCCTAATTATATCCGAAAAATTCAAGAAAAAATAGAGTATTTTACCTTCTATCCTTTCTGGTTTCCCTTTACATCTTTTCCGGAATTTTGTGTAAAAATAGCATATTTACACAAATTAGAGAGACTAAATAAAATATTTATAAAAACTACCGAAAAGTTGGAAGATATAAACTAAACGAAAAAGATTAATTTTAAATTTTAGATTTATTCCGGTCGACAACTCAAAGACAAATGTAAATTTTTATTTAAAAAATTTTTTTTTCTCTTTACATTCAAAAAATAATTTTAGATAAACTCAGTCATTACAAAATTGGAAATAATTGTGTTGTTGATTTGGTTATGCGTCTAGAAGGTGGCGACAAAATGTGTTAAAAATGGAAATTGATCGGAGCGGGGCTCTAAATTAAAAATCTAAATTAAATTATTTTTTTTATCTTGTAAATTTAAAAATGATGTATTGAAAATCTATAATTATTTTTTTCAAATTGTTTTTAATTGACAAAAGGCAAACAATTTGACAACAAATAATTTTCAGTTTTCCACAATAAACTTTAAAAAATAAAGAACCAAAATTTCTAAATTATTGATTCTATTTTTCAAAAATAACTTGGGGTTTTCGTGGTAAAAAAGATTGTCAAACTAAGTTTTATATTTAACAAGTTCAAAAAAATATTGAAAAATTGATAATTTAAATTGAAAAAAGAAAGTTTCATTAAATTTATTTAATAACTAAATGCTTTGTAATGTCATATTTAAATTGTTTATTCTCCAAATCATTTCCAAAATTTGTTTCAACAGAACAACATTCTAACGCAACAAATGGTCTATACGAGACAGAATTGGGATTTATAAATGAAACTCTTCCTAAAACACAATTTTTAAAAAATAATTTTTAATTAAATATTTACGAATATATTTTCCATTTTTTGTAAAGAAAACATAAGGAAATTCTTCATTTGTTTTATTAGTTGGAGGATAAACTAATCCACAACCAAAAATATCATTATTTTTCCAAGTAGGTGTTGCTTCATCTGTCTCGTTTGTAATTTTATCAAACTCTGCATAAAATTCAATCCAATCTTTTGTACTACAATTTTCTAGCCCAATACTAATATATTTTCCATAATTATTTAATTCTCTTTCAAATTTATATTCAAAATAATATAGAGAATAATTAGAACAATTTTGTGTTTTTTTAAATGAATTTTCTGCATAAATAACGTAAATTTTAACACCATCTAAAAGTATTTCCACCATTAAGGTAAAATTTCGGTATACGACACAGACGCCGATTAAGTCAAATGATATGTCATTCAAAAAAGCTCGTCGAATTGAGTCGAATGGGGAAAAAATTTTCGTGCGGACTAATGGAGGGGCTGAGATATAAGCCCCGAAAATCGAAAAACCAATGGGGGGACCAAGCATTTTTTATGGGTGAAAAATTAGAAAAAGCAAATTATAACTCATTCGAAAGAGCTCATCGAGCTGAATCAAATGACACCAAACTCAACAAAATCTGACTTGATTTGACAAAGTTATGAACGTTTGGTTTTACCTCTACCACAAGGTTTTCGCGGAAAAAATTTTTTACCGCTGCGAGGAATCCGGGCAGAGCCAAGCGGAACGCCCAGCGGAACGACGGCCGCCACTTCGCTACGGTCGCCGCGAGCGAACCCTCCGTAGCGAACCTACCCTCCGTTTTCCAGCGAAGTTTCATAATCATCCAATCGAGCTGAGTTTGATGTCATTCAACTCAGCTCGTCGAGCCCTTTCGAATGAGCTATTATTTGTATATTCAAATTTTTACTCCAAAAATCCCGCCATAAATTTGATCATTTCGAGCCCTATATCTCGGCCCATTTATGAGTCCGCGGGCTAATTTTGGTGTCATTCGACTCAGCTCGACGAGCTTTTTCGAATGACATATCCACTACCTAATCGGCGTCTGTGTCGTTATACCGAAATTTTTCCTTACATTAAGATTTAACTATATTTTACCTCTTTTCCCCTCTAAACAATTAATATAGGTATTTTATATTTTCTTCATTAATTATACATATTTATAAATATAATTATAAATATATTATATGTACAATACAATTAATTACCTTTAATACATTTACCAATAGGTTTGTTTGTATTTATACGATTACTGGAACAACATTTACGATATCCACTATCAATTTCTTTCAAGTTATTTTTAACTTTAACTAACACCACACATTCCGATAAACTAAACACATTAGTCAGATTATTAAATTTAATTAAATCACCAATCTTTTTGTCAAACAAATCAGATGCCTTTTTTAATTAATTTAAAATTTAACAAAAAATTTTTTTAGAAGCCCTACTCTCTGAGTAACAAAAATAAAGCAAGCACACTTTAAATTCTTTTTATTTTTATGGAACCAAAAAATTCCTCTTAAAAATTCTATTAACATCAAAAGGAAATATAAAAGAAATGAAGTTTTTATGTGGTCGCATTATCAAAATAATGTTCGAAAAGCATAATGTGCCCCATCTTTTTGTTATGCAGAGCAGTAGTTTTAGAAAAATAAAATGAGAAATTCTACCCATAACCATATTCAAAACTCTTGGAATTTCAAAAAAAGCTTTTCAATGGACGTATAAGGGAGTAATTAATATTTTTATTTACCTTTTTAATTTCTTCCTCCAAAATATTAATTCTCTCATTTTTTTGCTCATTTTCAGTTTCCAATTGTTTATTATTTTCTTCAATTAATTGTTGAGAATTTTGTTTTATTTCAACTTTATTTTCATTGTCACAAGCTATTTTTTGTGTTATCTAAAATTATAAAATATTAAATTCTGTAGAATTGCTCGGTTTAATTAATTTATATTCAATCATTTTTCACTTTATTTAGAAACGAAATAAATTAAATTTTGGGGTAAAACGAAATAAAAAACCCCTGTTTTTATTTTGAACCTCAAAAAAATTGTCGGGGAAACAGGAAAAATAGGGGGAGGGAGGGAGGGGGGGGGGTGCCGATAAGAATGTTTGTAATCTGTGTCGGCCTATTTTACATTTTTATAAAAAATAAATTATAATTATTTACCATTTTAATTCCTTCTTCCAAAAAATTAATTTTCTCATCTTTTTGCTTATTTTCTACTTTTAATTTATTATATTCTTCGTTCAATTTTTGGAAATTTTGATTTAAAATCCTAATTTCATTTTCATGTTTAAAATTGGTCTGAAAATATTTTGAATTTAGTGGTTGAAGAAGTGAAAAGAAGTAAATTAGTTTCCTTAAAAAACTTAGTTTCAGAGTGAAATTCAATACAAGAAAAAAGAGAAGATACTTGCCTTTTCACTCTCAAAAACACTCTTTTCCAAAGATAAATTTGTCCTTTCAATTTTAATCTAAAAAAATAAATTAATTTCTAAATTTAAGCAAAGTCAGCCGGAACTCACTTATACGACACACTCGTATAAAAAATCTGAATAGTAAAACAGGTCGGACCTCATTTTTACGTCAATTTTCGGGTAAAGAAAATATGATCTTAATGTGAGAGTGCCCTACAAGAGAAAGTGCTGTATAATTGTGAGTAGGCTCTAGCAAAGGAAACAAAAAATAATTTTTAACCGTTAATCTCTCCATCTGTAGTTCCAAACTTTTAATTTTATTTTTTGATAAACAACAAGAACTACAAGTGGACAAATCACCAATACTAGATGTTTCCAAACAACTTTTCTCTGTAAAATTTTCCAAGTTTTCTCCAAGTAGTTCATTATTATCAAAATTGTTTGTAGAAAGTGCCCATTCATCTAATTGGTTTGGTGTTCTCATATTTATTTTCGGTAATAGTGTCGTTTCCCGGCCCCATTTTTTCTCCCCAATTTTTTACCCTATGTTTGTACGGAATGGTCAAATTTTCCCCTTTCTTTCATCAAATTTGCCTTTCCTTATTTTGCCTAAAATCAATCCAAAAGATTAATTTTTTATTCAGTTCTTTCACAAGGAGAAACACCAAGCATGAAAAATGTTTTCTGGCTATTATAGAAGGGAAAAGAAGTGCGGAAAATATCACAAATTAATCTTTATGATTGATCTTAGGCAAAATATGGAAAGGCAAATTTGATGAAAGAAAGGGGAAAATTTGACCATTCCGTACAAACATAGGGTAAAAAATTGGGGAGAAAAAATGGGGCCGGGAAACGACACTATTACCTTATTTTCTTTTAATTAATTTTCTGAAAATAATTAAGATTTTTAGGTTTTGTTGGTGAATACAAAAAAATTTACTGTGCAGAAGGCCAATATGCCAATAAGGCCAATAAAGAAAAATATAAGAATTAGGTATTTTTGTAGAAACTGCTAATTTGATAGTAATCGAAAACCCTCTCAATACTTGAAAATATAACAAAAAGCAAGCCAAAGTATTGAAAAATAAACGGAGAAAGGAAAAAAGGTTCTAGGTCAAAAAATCCAATCGAAAAGCAAGCCAAGTAGAAAATGATGGTTTTATGTACTAGAATGAATGAATGAAATAAAAATATAAGGGGATTTTTGTTGGCCTTTTTGCGGGTTTTTGAGTCCATTTTGACACTTAAAAACCTAAAATAGAAACTAGGGTTGTTCACCAATTCCCTCAGTTTTCGATTATCCCCGGTTTACGTCACGCCGGTTCCGGTTTTTGATTGACCCTCGATTTTTGGTTAACCGAAACCGGATTTGGCTAAAATTTTCATTCAGAATATCCAATTTATTTTAGCCAACTAAATTGCATTAACGAGAATTCTATAAATCAGGCGCCGAAAGCGCCGAAAATTTTTGTTTTTTTTTTTTCGAATTTTGAGAATTTTCGAATTACTCAGTCTCATATTTTTATGAGAATATTTGTTGAGGGAATATTTTAAAAATAAAAGAAAAATTATGTTTTGAGGAGGAGCTCAGGCTTAAATTTCTCTGGGCAAAAATATCTAAAAAAATTATTATTTAAATATTTTTCTAATTGTTTACCTTTACCATTTTTCCCCATAAAATCAAAATTTTGATTAAGAAAAAGAATTTAATTAATTATTCTTTTATAAATTTAACTTTGCTATCCCTTTTAGTTTACTTAAATTTTAAAGATAAAATACCCATCTATTTTTCAATTATTTTTTTAAGAAGCTTTCTTAACTAGGTGAAGGGCAAAATTCGAAAACATAGTCCAGACAATACACAGAACGATCTGAATTTTTTAAAATCAGAATATTTTTAAAATCACACAAGGATTAATTATTTCTCTGGACTGTTTTGATGAAACCGGTTTTATCTGTTCCGAGTTTTAGCCTGACACTAAAAAAATTATTTTTAAATCAAAGAAAACTTTTCAGATGTATTTTTGATTTTTCCAACACTCGAAGAACCTCTTTAACTCACAGGGATTTTCGAATTTAATTTAAAAAAATTCTCAACAAAATGAATGAAAGTTTATCAAATACTGATTTAGAATCTAAAGTACCAAATTTTTTTTGTAAAATTAAAAAAAAACTTTTTTTAAAGGAAAATCTACGAATCGATGATTTAATAAAATTTCATAAAGAATTTATTAAAATTCTTCAAATAAAATTTAATGAAGAGAGGGAAAAGAATGTTAATTTAGAAAAGAAAAATAATTCTTTGGAAAATGAATTGAATGAGACTAAAAAAGTTTGGAATTTTTAAATTAAATATGTAGAATCGAAGCTCATTTATAAGCAAGCCTTTCCATTCGTACCTCCACTTTCACCTTTTAATGCCGGGGCTAGTAGCTTATTTGGATAACAAAGTTTGATATGAATTTGCCACAGAGGAAGAGTGGAATTAGGAAGGAAGATTGACTATTAAGTAAATACTTAAGAAAGCAAAAAAGGGGGGACCAGCCTGGGTATTATCGCAAGATTTTTGCGAGAATCCAATAATTTAATCCAATAATTTTAGCAAATTGGAAAAATAAATTCTGAACATGAAAAAGAAATTAAAAATTTAGGAGAAATTATTCTGCAATTGAAAATTGAAAATAATCAGTTAAAAGAGAAAGTTAATTCTTCAGAGGAAAAAAATAAACAGGTAAATAATTTCATTAAAATTTTTACTAAAATAAATATTCGAGAAGTAAATATTCCATTTTATATTTTCAGTCAAAAAATTGTCCTCGATGTCGAGCTCCTGCTGCCTTAACCGATATTAAACAACTTTTTGTCGAACAAGCAGGTGATAGTTCTGATGATTCTAGTGATGAATTTACTGAAAGTAAAAGTCAGATTGTGAGTAATTTAATGAAAAATTGGGGGAAGAGGGGTTATTCACAGAATAGAAATTTACCGAATTTTGAGTTGTGAGGTTGCTATAAAGTCCTGAAAATTTTGTTTTAAGTTTGGACTGATAAGAGAAATAAATATTAAGAAGATATTAAGAAGTTGGGAATAATTTTAGTATCAAACTTGTCTTGTTACTTTTTTTATTTTAGTCTAAGTCTATATTTCGGTTTGTTCTTATGCAAATAATTTTTTAAAAAATTTAGTTTCGTTTCCTTCTGCCTAAAAATTTTTTTTGAATTTTGTGCAACTATAATAAAAAAATATTTTTTTTCAGAATTTTGTTGAAATTAAAAATAAATGGAAAGAAATTGATAGTCAATACAGTATGTGTTGTAACAATAATTGTATAAATACAGAAAACCCTAATGGTAATTGTGTTAAAGGATATGGATATGGAAATATAATTAATGACGAAAATATTAAATATAAAAATTGTTTGGAGGGGAAATGTTAGTTAAGTAATTAAATTTCAATTTTTTGTAAATATTTTTAGGTTTTGATCAATATATTACTGTTTATGCAGAAAATTCATTTAAAGCCCCACAAAATTCTTTTGATTATTCTTTATATTATTTTGAAGTTAAATGTCAATTTGAAAGAGATAAGAGTTCAGTTTGGATGAATATTGGTTTGAAAAATTTAAATACAAATAAATATATTTATTATTATGCAAATAATGCTAAAATTTATAATGAGAAAGATGAAGCATTTAATGTTAAAATATATTGGAAGAATAATGATTATTTTGGTTGTGGATTAGTTTATCCTCCAACTAATATGACGGATAAATTTCCTTATGTTTTCTTCACTCAAAATGGAAAAGAAATTGGTAAATACTTAAAATTATCTTTATAAATTGTTTTTTAAAGGTGAAGAGATATTATTAAAGGATAATACTGAATCATACAAACCTTTTGTTTGGCTAAAATCTCATTCTGTTGAAGCTAATTTTGGAAATGATTTGGAGTCAAAACCTTTTAAATACGATATCTCAGACCATTTGATTCTTAAATAATTTTATTGGAAATTTGTTTTACTTAATTTTAAATTTATTCAGTTTTAGCAATTTTAAACAATTTTATTTATTTTGTAAATTAAATTATTTTTTAAATTAAATTAAATAAATTATTTTTCTAAATTTATTATTTTTGGGCACAATTCAAAATTTTGTACATGACTATTATTTACCATTGATATTTGTAATATTTTAGAAAAAGATTATCTTGGAAAAAGATATTGAAGGATTTAGGGAATGAGAGAAGCATTGAGGATTTAGCGGAATTATGAGGGATATGATGGGATACGATCTAAATAAAGATAATTACTAAAATCGGTCACTGCACCCCCAAAACCTATTATTCAGAAGAAAATACCTACGGATATCCTCATTAATCCCTCGATAATTCTCCAAATCCACCGATATCCATTTTATTCACGCTAAATCCCTCATTAGCTCCTTTAATCCCTTCAGAACACTGATTAAACTTGTAAAGAAATAAAAGGATAAATAAATCAGAAGGTTGTAGGTTTTCAGGGTCATAGGTCGTGTAGATCTACGAAGTGTAGGTCTTCATTATTTATTTAAAACATAAAAATTATTAAGAATTAATTTGTTTGTATTTTTTAAATTTAAAATATTCCCTCATCAAATAAAACTTAATCCTTTTTCTATCACTCTTTTCTCAACAGACAAATATGTATTCCCCAAAAACAGTCCCTGGGCAAAAAATCCTTCAATATATAAATGAATAAATTATTTAATTTCTTATTCATTCCCCCTATACACTACTAACACACACTAAATTTTCGAACACACACTAAATTTTCGAATTTCTTAACTTCCATCAAATCAATCGGGCTGATTTTTATTTTATATTTATTAAAGCGGGTAGCAATTTATATAAACTCGAGAGATCGAAAATTCGAATAAATTTTTTAAACTTTGTTTTCATTTTTTCTTTGATGCCAAAATTATTTCTCTGAATTTCTTTTAGTGAAAAGTTGATACATATTTAAATTATTTTATAAGTTTTGAATTTTTTGTTTCTCTCCTTTTTACCCTTGTGAATATTTTAAGTGAATTTAATCATTTTTGATTGATTTACTTTACAAATAAAATTTTTTGATGGTGGCCTAGAATCCAAAAACCTTATTCAAAAATATTTACTGCTTTGAAATCTGGGTTTAGAGAAACAGACATTTTTGTCTAGTAAATTTGAGACAAAATAAGAAAAATTTGTATGTATTGCCAAATAAAAGTTTAAATTAATTTTCAGATTATTGTTAAAAATAAATCTTATGAGAACATTAAAAGAATTTGAAGAAATGTCCAATATTAAGGATGATTTAAATAAAATTGAGGATGAAACACTTGTTGAAGAAGAACTAGAAGTTTTTACAGAAAAAAGTAATTTGGAAACATCCAGTATTTGTGGGTTGTCAACTTCTTGTGATTCTTGTTGTTTAGCAAAAAATATAATTGAAAGTTTAAAGCAACGTCAGGAGAAATTAGAGGTGATAAGAATTTTTTGGTTGAATTACTAGTGGCGGTCTCGAGTGTATGACACCTTATTTAAGTTCATTATTCCCTATTACATAAATACAAATTGTCTTTTCGAAAGAAAAACAATAGTGAGCTCTAACTTGAGGCGGGTCGGAACAGTCAGAGGTGTCGGAAATTGGAAGAGCCGGAAATTGGAACTGGCTCAAAAGCCGGAAATCGTAAATCAAATTTTTTTTCGGAAATCGGGAAGAAAAAAACGTCAGAAATCGGAATTCCGACCTCCTCGGGCTCCAACCCGGCCTTGTAAGGCATTCTTACTTTACCTCTATATTTATGAACGATGGTGGTGTACAAGTGAGACACAATTGAGTTTAGAAATTTATTTACTATATTTTAGTTGAAATTGAAAAATAATGATCTAGCTTTAGAAAATTGCAGCTTGAAATTTCAAAATGCAAGTTTTATTCATTTCCCGATATTTTTTAATATTAAATTTAGAAAATCCAAAAAATAAATTCTGAACATGAAAATGAAATTAAAAAGATGAGTGAATATTTTAAAAATTTAATTGAGGAAAATATTAAGCAATTAAAAGTTGAAAATGATGCTTATTTAAAGCAAAAGGATGAAAAAATTAATTTATTGGAAGAAGAAATTAAAAATGTAAATAAAAATTATTTAAATTAGTTTTTTTAAAAAAATCCAAAGCTAACCACATCCAAATGACAGAAAAGTCAAATTTAAGCTGAAATTTTTTGTAAAAGTTTTAGAGAGACTTCGAATGATTCGGGAATTATTCGAATTGGTTGGAAATTACGCAGCATAACTTTAATCAAAAAATGTGTTTTTAAATAAATGTCTGAAAAATTATCAATTTTTATGAAAAATATAATTTCAAAAAAATCCCTGAGCAAAATTTATTTTCTATTTTCGACCGAAAATTTTGTTTAAATGAAATGAAAAAGCCTTAAAAAAGATATATGTACATATTAAACACAGTTAAATATTTTATAAAATTGAAACACATAATTTAGAAAATTCAAAAAATAAACTGTGACAGTGAAAATAAAATTGAAGATTTCCAAAAATTAATTGAAGAAAAATTTCAACAGTTAAAAATTCAAAATGATCAAAAAGAGGAGAAAATAAATTGTTTAGAGAAAGAACTCAAAACTGTTAAAGCTGAAAATGATGTTTATTTGAAACAAAAAGACGAAAAAATATTTTCTTTGGAAAAAGAAGTTGAAACGGTAAATAATTAATTTTAAATTATTTTTTGGCTTTTCATTGACAGTGAGAAGTACATATTTGTTGATTTTTCACAAAAGTCTTATTTTTAATTGTAGTATATCTTTATCATTTCGTTTAATCTTAAAATCTTATTTGTCTCATTTCGAAAATAGATGAAATGAAAAAGTCAAACAGCGACATTGTTCAAAACTTAATATAATTAAATTTACTTTTAGAAAATTCAAAAAATAAATATTGACCATAAAAATGAAATTAAAGAAATGAAAGGGAGTATAGAACAATTAAAAACAGAAAATGATCAAAAAAATGAGAAAATTAATCTATTGGAAGAAGAAATTATAAAGGTAATTTAGTATTTTTAAATATTAACTCATTATTAAGGACCGAGATATTTTCTCAGCCCCATTTATTCGCAAGAAGGCCATCAATCAAACTTAATTTGTTCAGAAAGGTCAGCCTTTCTTTCTTCCTCGATGTTTCTCAATTTGCCCTGTGGCATGTGCAATGTAAGAAATTAATAAAGAAAATATCAATTTTTTCCATTTTCACCAAAATAGAAGTTAACATTTGAATCAATATTGGTACTTATTTACTTCCCACCCCCAGTCAGTTTTTTCGAAAAATATGTAAAAATTGTTAGTCTGAACAACAATTGTAGAACACATCGAGCTGTGTCAAATGACACCAAAATCAGCAAAATCCGACTTGATTGGACCGAAATACAGACTCCTGAAGACCCCCGTTAACTTCTATTTTGGTGAAAATGGAAAAAATTGATCTTTTCTGTATTAATTTTTCTCATTGCACATGCCACAGGGAAAATTGAGTATCATCGAGGAAGAAAGATTTTTCAAAAAATTTTTATAACCAATGAATAACAGAATAGACCAAGTAGTTGATTAAATGGGATATTGGTGGATTGGACGGATTAGATTGAATATCAAGGGCTTGTATTTGATATTGAAGGATCAAGTGAGATATAAGCGGATTCTAGCGAGGGATAATGGACTGAGTGTGTAACAAGAGATAAAGAAGTAGTAAGACGGGTATTGTGGATTTGTGAGATCAGGAGGGATATCAAGGGATTTCTGGATCAAGGGGGATATAGGGGGATAAAAAATCTTTCATTTGGTATCCGTTTTGATATCCATCTCAGGCAAATATCAGTCTTGATCCCTCGAGATCCATTTTATCCACTTAATCCTCTATTAGTTATACAAATAGTTGATTACCCCGGATATCCACTATATCCGTCATGATCCTTGGATATCTCAAATATCCCAACAAACCTTCGGATGTCCCATAAAATTACTCTTAATCTACTGAAATCTCCCTTAATCTACCAAAATTTTCTTAATTCATATCAGTGTTTTGTAGGGATATTGATGGAATATGATGTATTAAGGGGATAAGAAAGGATATCTAACAATCTTATGAGAATCTTGGAAGGTCAAGTTGCAAAATTCTTCATTTTCAGCGCCGCAGGCGAAAATTTTTTGAATTTATGATGGTCGGGAGGCCAAAATTCATCCTTTTTGGCGCCAAAAATTCAAATTTTAGTCAAAAATGACGTTCGATATTTTTTTCGATAATTTTTATTTGGTCGGTCGATATTCTCGATATTTAAATTCTATATCGAAAAATATCGAAAAACTCAAAATTTTCTCGGTCGATATTTTTCGATAAATATCGAAAAAAAATATCGAAAAATATCGTATCGAGCCGGGCTCTAGTTTATATTGACAATTTCGAACCTTTTTATCTTGGCTACTTTTAGCAAGGCCCTTTTTCCCTCTTTTTATCAGCAATTGTTTCTCTGACTTTTATTCGCGCCGCGATATAAATTTTTATTTTAAACATTTAAGCACCTGCTGCTCTCAAATACTGATATAAATATAAAAATATTTCTTATTTAAATTTTATTCTGTTAAAGGTGGATGATTTGATGGACAAAAAGATTGGTGATTTAATTAAAGCAAATAATTCGAATTTAGTGGTTAGTTTTATATTTTATATTTAGTTTATATTAAATTTTAATAATTTTTAAGGAGTTTATTCAACTTAAAAATAAATGGAGTGAAATTTATGGTATATGTTGTTCCAATTTATGTATAAATTCATTAAAACCTATTGGTAATTGTATTGAGGGAAATGGATTTGGTAACATAATTGATAATGAAAATATTAAATATATTTTGGGGAAAGAAGGTAAATCAAAGAATTTTTGAATTTTGACAATATTTTAAGGTTGTAATAAATAT